AAAAAGTTTTATTTGTTAATTTTTATATAAGTTTTTATATTAATTGTTGCTTTGTTTCTTCGATGCAATGTAATGAAAAAAATATTAAGATTTTTTTAAAATTTTATATTAAATTTTTTATATTATGGGTTTTTGTTTAAGCACAAATGCATAAGAAAGAACACACCATATTTTTTTGACTTCAAAATTTATTCAAAACATAAGAAATATATACAAAAATTTTGATTAAAAATTATAAAATTAGATAAAATTTTATCTTTTAAGTTTAATTTAATATATTTTAATTAACCGATAACATAATTTATGTTATCAAAATGAAATAAATATGTTTAGTTTAATCCACAACGTAGCGCAAGAATCCAAACTCGTTCATATATCTAAAATTCCTATTCACTTATCGTTCATATGCATAAAATTACTATTCAATTGATGATACTTTAAGTAATTTTTATGTGTTTTTGGGCATTAATATGCAAATTTGACACTCTTTTTCTATTTTTTGTCCCTCATGTTGTAACATGTTTTTTTCAATCCTTAGTTTTCATTTTTCTTTCATTTTCACACACCGTATATATTTGTACTATCTTTTTATGTTTTAAAATTAGCATATATTTTAGCTTATATTACTCTTATTATTTAAATTTCATTCTTTGAATTTATAATTTTTTATGAAAATTCTCATCCAATTAATATTTTTTATATAAGATTTTGTTTATTGATAAATATAATTTATTTTTCTCTTTGTTTGAATTTTAGAATAAAATTTTAAACATGACTTTTTTTCTTTTTCTTAAAAAATAAATTGGTATAATATATATCATGAATTCTTAGAATTTTTAAATTATAGTTGCTTATATATAAATATATAATTATTTTATTCTAAAAGGTTAAAAGTGTATTTGAAATAATTTGTTTCAGTTCACTAGGAATGGTCAATGTAACTCCCGTGAACTTACTTAACGTAGCTATACGTACGGTAATAATTTTATCTACAACTACTAAGTTGCAATTATGATTTTTGTGTCATGTTGTGTTTGGTGGGTTTAAGATGCTTGGGTTAAAAAAAAATATTATTTTTGGTGTTTCAAAATTTAATTCCCGAGCCCAAATATCTTTTCAAATATCCATAATTATGTAAGTATAAATTATGTGTCTTTTTTTTTATTTGTAGTGTGAAAATAGTTAAGAGGTATGGTTTAAGGTTTATGGAAGTGTTCATAGGAATATCCTTTTTTGAGAAATTAATTAGTCGGTATTTATTTTTCCATAATGTATATTTAAAATGACCGTGCAAGTGAAAAATATATCTCATTTAAGAGGTATGGTCTAAATTTTGGAGCTAGGTAAGGTTAGGAAGTTGGTTAATTTTAAACACCTTTTAATTTTTTTCTTTAGTTAGTGATGTGACACAAAATCTTCCACCATACTTCCAATTGTACTTTCCCATTTAATTTTGGAAGGTTAAACACTTCAACTAGCCTCTCTTTTGTCTCCATCAATTGACCTCTCTTATCACAAAAATTGGACACCTAGCATATTAAATATGAAAAAAATAATGGTTTAAAAGACGTGATATAAAAAAAAATAGAAGGAAAGCTTAAGGCTTGCCATCTTTTTTGTCAAAAACATATCTTGCAAAAAAGGGGGAGAGAGTGATGGTTTTGTGAGGGAAGAAAGGGAAAAAAGAAAGGAGAAAAAAAAAGGAAAGAAAGGAAGGAGAAAGAGAAGAAAAAGGCTAAGAAATCTTAACCAAACACACCTCATTGCAAGTAGGTTTCATTTAGCATTATTTATGCATTAAAATTTAAATGTTCATGTTTCTTTTATGAGTTTATTTAAGCTATGTAATATGTGATTATGGTAATTTGTATTGATGTTAAAAATTTAATGTTTGGTGATGGATGTATGATGTTTTGATGATGGATTTATTTTGGAGGTACCACATGTTGGAAAATTTTTAGTTTCGAAATTTGTGTGATTTATTTTGGGATCTTAGAGTAGTTTTTGGGAAAAACTTAAAGAATAAAAGTTGTTTATATATGTGTTTACTAGCTCTCTATAAAATTTTGTAATTCTTAGATCTATATATAAAGAGTTATGACTAATTTGGTACGGATCATTTGGATGTACCACATGCTGAAAAGGTTTTTAGTTTCGAACTTTGTGTGATTTATTTAGGAATCTTAGAGTGATTTCTGAAAAAAAAATTGAAGAACAAAAGTTGTTCATCTATGTGTTTAATAGCTCTCTGTAAAATTTCATAATATATATATATATATAAGGAGTTATGACCGATTTGGTATAGGTTGTTTAGATGTACCGCTCGTTGGAAAAGTTTTAGGAAAGATATGAGTTTAGGTACTTAAACTTGATTAGTTAAGGTGTTTAGTTAGAATAAGTATTTAATTATACACCTAAGCCACCCTAATATAACCATATGGGTTTGGGAGACATGTATAAATGGGCTTGGACTTAAAATAAAGTGGACTTGAAATAAAACACATGGACTTGGACTAAAGCAAAATGGGCTTAGACTAAAATAAAAAGAGGTTTGGATTACAATCAATGGACTTGAGTTAAAATAAAAATGGGCTTGGATTAAAATAAAATAGAATTGAATTAAAACAAATGGACTTGGGCTTGGATTAAAATAAAATAGAATTAAATTAAAAAAAATGGACTTGGGCTTAGATTAAAATAAATGGGCTTTGACAAAAAAATAAAAATAAAAAAGAGTTTGGATGAAAATAAATGGACTTGGATATCCTAAGAAGACTTAGTGGACCTTGGTACTAAAATGGTCAAGTTGGACCATACTATGAAAATATTGATGAAGACCCAAGTGTGGATTGAATTTCTAAAATGATATAGATATAAATAGTTTGGTACCTATGAGATATGGAATATGGTTCATGATATATGAAATGGATTAATCCTATTAGACGGGTCTTGAATTTCTTGTGTGAACTCAATGGTACGGAATCAAAGGGTTTAGTACTTATGACTTGATAGAATGTGGTTCATGATACATCACGTACATCATACGCATATGGATGGATTAAATTGAGAAAAACCATTGAGTAAAAAACGATAAGGTTTGGTAATCGAATTGAATGAAAATTGAATAGGTTTGGTAACCTACTCGGATAAAAGGGGTATTAGCAGATCCAGCTGTATGCATACTCTAAGCTCGTGTGCCCGCACTGTTGGACGATGGATTCCCACTAACGAGTGGCTACAACAAGGGATAATTCCGTTGTAGTAGAAGGTGAGCTGCGGTTCACCTGGATTAAATATAAGGTAGACTTACTAATACCCGTGGTATCCAGAAAATAAAATTTGATGAGTTGAAGTGTGGGAAATCAAAAAATCATTGCATATCATGTGCAACACCCTACTTATTGAGCTTCGGCTCACTCGTGTTTATTTCATGTCTTGATAGGTAAAGGTGATAATAATGCCGATAATGAAGTCGTCGGTTCCTCCTAGAAAAAGGCTCATGTGTGATGCGAAAAAAAATTTTATAGTATCTACGTTTGTTTGTAAATTGCATTTTGTAATTTTTGTAATGATATTTGGTACATTGGGTATGTGTATGAGATTAAATTTGAGACTTCGGTCTCTAAACCGTGGTGCACCCAGTCATGCCTTTTAGGTAATCGGCAAAGGAGCTAGGGGTGCCACGAGTCAAGACATATTAAAAAACTATTGAATCATTGATTTTATTAAAAATTAACTATATATCTTCCAACATAATACAAATTATTTACTTTGCATATTTTTTTTAACATTATAGAACCAATTTATTTGAAATAAAATAATTAAAATAATATTTTAATGGAACCAATCAATTATTCAAATATAGCTTTTTATTCTAATTTTATTGATTATTTTATGAATAAATAAATATAGATCTAATGTATATACTTGAAAAAAATGATCTTCTTACAAAACATTAAATAAGAATAAAATTTTATTTTTTCATTGGTTAATTTTTATGCAAGTCTATACATTAATTGTAACTTTATTTTTTGAATACATTCTTCTAAAAAAATAATAATTTTAAAGTATTTTCTTTTTGAATTCTTAATTAATATTTCGGGTTTAAATTATTACAAGTTTTTATTTAAGAATCCATTAATAAAGAAGAATAAATCTTATTTTTTTAAGCAAAAATTCTATGAAAACACACAAAAAAAGTAATAATTAAATAAAAAATTAATGAAAAATTTATAAAAATTATAAATAATTTTGTTTTATTTATCTGTAGCGTTATGAGGATCATTTTAAAACTTAATTTTCTCATCAGCAGTAAATAAGAATTTTTTTCATTTGTTAATTTTTATAAATTCCTATCCATTAATTATAAATTTATTTTTTTAGAATACAATATTATGAAAATTATATTTTTAAAGCTTTTTTTTTAATTCTTGATTAATATTTTAGCTAAAATTATTATATTTTTTTTATTTTAAAATCAATTCATAAAGAAGAATGATTTATGTTTTTTTTTTAAGTAAAAAATTTATAAAATAAATAAATTAATTAATTAAATAAAAAATTATAATGAAAAATTTTAAAATGGTTTTTTTTTAATGAATTTGTAGCGTAGCGCGAGTAACCAAATAGTATTTGACAAAATCAAGTGGTCCCTTGGGGTTCTAGGTTCCTGAGGATATTGATCAGCTGATCACAAATAAAGGAAAAAGAAATTATATCTTCTCATGCTACAACTGGAGGTAAATGGGAGTATGTTAGGGTTACTAGACAACACGTTTTTATGTATGTTTGCCAAATTATCCATCGAATTACTATATTTATTTATTTATTTATTATTATTATTATGCAGTATCCACATATCAATCGTTTAATATGCTATAGAGATGAACTTGTTTGGTTAAAAAAAAAAAAAAAAACTATCCAAACGAAATTACTCTGCTAGAGGCTGCTAATTTGGACTGATTATCTAAAAGGGCCCAAAATAGTCATGGTCCACACCCATGGGTACTATGCTCAGACCTTGCCACTTCACATGGGGGTGTAAGCGTGACACATTAGAGTCGGGAGAGACAGAGAATGGCAGCAGCTCCTGGAAAATGCTTCCTGGTCACTGGCCCTCCTGTAAGTAGCATCAAAATCACACTCTCTCTTTATATATATATATATATATATATATATATATATATATATTAATGGATTTCTAAGTGAGATAGGTCTCAATCTCTAGCGAAATCTCAAAGAAATGGTATTTGTAATTGACAGGGTGTAGGTAAAACCACACTGATAAGGAGAGTGTTTGAAAGCCTCAAAACCACAAACCCCACCTTGAAAATTCAGGGTTTTTACACAAGTAATGCTCTCTCTCGCTCTCTCTCTCTCTCTCTCTGTCTCTCTCTTTATTATCTCTTGTTAATTACACTTGTGTAAGGGAAAAAACACAGGTTAATAATGGTTGTTTTATGTGATAACTAGGGGAGATTAGAGAAGGAAGTGAAAGGGCTGGCTTTGAAGTTGTCACTTTAGATGGACGCGAAGCCCTGCTATCGTCCACCACCATTTCTACGTAATTCTGTCTTTTTGAATCATTTATATTTAGAATTCAAGTGCAAGCAGTCAAAAAGTAAGCAACTTTGTTACATATATTGAGAGTCCTGGGGTTGCGTAAAATGATCACTACAGTACATGATTGTGTCTGAATTTGATGCATTGAATTCGAATACTTAAAACCCCAAGCAAATAAATGCAATTGTCACTTTTGGAATAAAAAATCAAAATGGTGTTTTTTTTTTTTTTTTGGCTTTTGTTATTTTTCCTATTAAAACTAGCTTCCTGAATTGTGTTCCATGTGTAAGGTTCTGTATTGTAGCGATTTCATTTGATCTAGACTTGCTGTCTCCATATTGGTATTTGCGGCAACATTCTGTATTGTTCGACTAGGAAGGTTTTCATTTCTTGTCATGAGTTATTTGTTGTTTTACTTGTGTTATTAGTTATCTCCAGCTGAAGTATCTCTCTCATAATTTTTAGCCCGGAGTCTATCAGATGGCCCACTGTTGGGAAGTATAAAGTAGACATTGCATCGTTTGAGGCGCTGGCATTGCCCGAGTTGCAGGTCAGGTGGTTTCTTAGAGCAATCTGTTGGTAAAATAATGCAATTCTCTACATGGCTCTAGTCAATGGCCCTTCAAGCAATGCACATTTTTTTGATCAATTTTATCAGCAGTTATTTGGTTGCATAAAGACTTTTGTTTCGATGCAGGTTAGAGAAGATACTGATCTATTCATCATTGATGAAGTTGGCAAAATGGAGTTGTTTAGTTCATCATTCTTCCCTGCTGTTCTAAATGTTCTGGAATCAAATATCCCACTTTTAGCCTCTATCCCTATTCCTAAATTTGGCCGTGATATACCTGCAGGTATGTCTGCCGAACACGCCTTGCAAATATTTATAACCAAACAGAATCTTCTCTTATATGCTATTGATTTCTGTTGATGCCATATTGCTCGGAGAGAGAGGCAGAAGGGGGTAAATGCAAAACATTCTAAGCAAAAGTAGTTTGAAAAACATCTTAAATGCTCTTATAAATGGAATCATTGTTGCTCCCCTTTGAGAACTTAAAGGAGGATTATTGTCTCATCAGGCTCAAAATTGAGCTAACATGTAGTAAGAGAAATTCTGTACTATTTGACTCTTGTTTTCTTGCATTTCTTCTGCTGTACTCACATATGATTGTGGTATTTAAATTGCTGCAGTTGCAAGGTTGAGGAATCATCCAGGGGCTAAAATATTCACTTTAAGCCCGAGTAACAGGGATGCTGTCAAAGAACAGGTTTACACCCAACTGGTAGGTAGTTTTGCTAAGTAAAATCTAGATGCAGCAGTATTATGGGAGCTATAGCTTATTCCATGTGCCCAGCTATATGCAAGCTGCAGAATTTCCGATCAAACTTTATGTAGCTGAAAATATATCCTTTACATGAGGTGACAAACTGCATTTGGGGACTGGGAGAAGCTCAGAGTTGCAAAAACTTGGTTTGCGAGTTGAGTTGTAGAGTTGACGTTGTCGAGATGCTCCTTGTAAAAACTTGTGCTTTCATTTTTTGTGTCTCATACTGCAACTATCTGGTTTAATGTTAGCTCAATTTCGATCACTACTCCCAGCAATTCGATGCGTAATCTTTTGTGCTTAACACGAATGTGGGTGTTTTAGCTTGTACACGTGCTTGTTATGCCGAAGTTCCTCCGCATTTAGGAATGCTGCAATACACAAAGCAATAAACCTGGCTCGAACAGTCTTTACATTAATCAAACAGTTAATGCTATTCTGAAACAAACAATGAACACGCTCCTGTTAAAGGTATCATTTAATGGTGAGACAGGTAGGGAAAAAAGACCCCACTTGTACAAAGTGTTTTGTATTGCACGCAGAACAGAACCCCTTGTCACAACTGTTCAAATCATTCCCTTTAAAACACTGAAAAGTATGGAGTTGAATATACATGAAGAAAAAGGAAATGAACAAATGAAGGTGAAAAAATCAAAGCAATGGATATGTATTGTTATATACTTCTTATAAGCAATCCGAGTAGGTTTATGAGCTTTGTTTATCCTTTTCTGAAATTCGCAGGACTTCTTTTGCCATTGCAGAGAATGACTTGGCTGTTTCTTGCATTTCTGTAGTCCTAAGATTGATCCCCTGCCCAATTAACCAAAAACCCTTTTTAGAAAAGTAACTCTTAAAAGGCTTAGAACCTTTCTACTCCTGCTTACATTGACAGTTCCAGGAGTGCAAGGAAGAATTAATCATATTTAAACAGAAACTGCAGAATTGTTGCCAAACCTAGAAATTTCATAATGTAGGATAGAACCTTTTTGGTGTTACCCAAGTTGATCAAGACTAGCAATCTAAGAACTTAATATTTGGAAGAAAATTATTTCGTCAGGACTTCGCTCTCTGAACCCGGTAAATATCTAGGAATTATATAAGGGAAGAGGAAAGCAGCTCTTAAATTATACCTGCAACTTTCTTATATTCTCTTGCAACTTGCTTTGGGCTATTTTAGCGGCACTTGATTCCTGCAACCAAAGATAAAAGAACCATACTCTATTAGTTTAAAGCATCTCAACATGACTAATAATGATCGTAGTTCATAAGCATCAAACAAGACAGAGATGAAAAAAAAAAAAATTAAAAAAATACTTACACCAGACACAGAAAAACCATATTTCTTCTTGATTTGATCGACTGCACCAGTCTTCTCATCTTTTTCCTCCTCTTTGATGTTTTTCTCATTCTTAGCATTCATCTGCTTTATTTTACCTGCGAATGATGAACTTGTTGCAGCTTTCAAAGATGTTCACGAGACTTTTATTGTCACAGAATCTCACTATTAACAACCCACGAAGTTTAAACAACTAAAGATTATACCAGGGATATACTACTCTTTTGTGTGATTCATTATGGGCAATTCAGTTCATCTACACTAGTTAATTTCCAGCAACCAATGTAATCACTGAAAACATTTTCTTGCACTGACCTGTAAAAGCCTGAAACTTGCTCGCCAATTTCTTCTTGTTAAGAGCTGCCAACATGTTCTGATCTTTGGGTTTCTCTACAGGATCGTCTAGGTCGATGTCATCTATAGAAATCAGAAATGAAAAAAATGAAAGATAAATTGAACAATTGGCTCTCTCAGTATAAAAGCTGAAAACCAAAGAAAGGGAAACAGAAAAGGATTATGAGCCAACTAAGCTGCCAGAAAGATTCAATCATACTTGGCTTCTGAATTTCTTAACAAGTATCAGCACACTAACACAAAGCCTTTAGCAAGTCATATAGATGGATGGAATGAAGTATCCCCTTCCAATGATTTATGTTAGGTCAAACATATTCAAGTACAATCAATAGATTTATGCCCATACATACCTATATCTAAGTCAAACCCATCGTCATCCATAGCCATGTTATCTTTATTCTCTTCATTACACTCAAAGTTGGCAGTTGAAAAGATCATCAAGAGTTCTTCAATGCTCTCTCTAGTATCCTCAGGTTCCACCTCAAGAACTTGCTTTGGCTTACTTCCTTTCATTACAGAACTAAATATTCCCTAGAATGACGAACAAGAAGCCAGATTACCATCACTACAAGGTCAGTGACAAAGTTCCAAGCTCTAAAATATACCTTTTTCTGTTCCTTTTGGATGACGGAGGTAGTGGGAATCCCTTCTTGTGAGAACATAAGATCTTTTCTGCAGACTTGACTGAAAAAATCCACAAGCCTAACAAGAAGCATGGCCGAAGTTTAACAAACCAAGGTGCTTGAATGAGTTTACTGATATTTGTATTCACTGGAATATGGAAATTTAACAAATTGCAATGGCCTTTTGAATTTCAGCGAGGAAGACAGAATGTTATTTCAAAATAATAAACTGCTTCTGCCTGAAGGGAGAAAGTGCAAATTTTGGGACAGATACCACCACATATTAGTATCTTGTCCAAGTCAGCACTCCAAATTGAAAAAAAAAAAGAAAAAAAAAGAAAAGTGTGTGATGGCAAGAGATAGTCAAAAGCATATTATACCTGAAGTTTTCCTTTTGAAGCAACAGAGACACAATAAACATTTCCTGATCATCATTCACCTACAAAAGAAGATTTTGGTAGAAGTTCCAGTTAAGTATTTCTAGAACTCTCTCAAGCAAAAAATTTGAAGAAGCAAAGTAAGCTGCTGTACCATAATAAGTTCTCCGTCCCGTGAACAGCATATCGAACTGGCAGAGAAAGAGTTCAGCTTCGGAGCAGAATATGTGAAACCTCTTATTGAAGATTCTCTTATCAATGACAACTCTGGCAAGGATCTTAAATTTCACAAAGCATTGATAGGTTATGCATTAAATAACTTTAAAATCTAGCTTGGAAGCATGTCAATAATAAAAAGGAAAATACCACTGCTGAAGTTCGGCTTACACCTCCGTATCAATGCATGACTAGAATAACCTTATCCTGAATACATATTTTCTAATGGAGAAGACAATGGTAGCAGTCACCATCCTAATTCCTAATCTCTCATGAACTTTCCGATTTCCCAATGCCTATGAATGCATACTATGTTTCTATGCCCAATACAAAATAATATTTCCAAAGTCTCCCCAATCAACTTCATGTCAATTTCTTGACATGAAGTGAAATTCTTGTATACTACAGAAGCATGTTGCAACAAAAATTGAACCAGCCAAGGACAAAAAGCATGAAACTAGCTAACAATCATTCTTAGAACAGCACTCGGCAAATGGTAAAGTTCAGCACCTTGCTTTTCTAATTAAAAGAATGTTAATGATGGAAGAGTAAATGAAAGCTAAGTGCATACGAAACAGGCATGAAGATTATAATGTCCAACAAACCACCACCTTATTTCAATTTTTCCATTAGAGAGAAGAAGTACAAGGCCAGCATCAGATGCAGTGCAGAATGTCGAAGCCCAGCAACAAGAAGATGATTGGAACTTCTTCTTGAAATGGACCTTCTTGACTCCCTGATACAGAAAAAAAGGGAAAAGGGAAGGATCATAAAAGTTTCCTTAATTCGAAAATAACAAGTGGGTACATAAGTATGACATTGATTACCTGAGCAACATGATTCAAGGAATAGACATAAGCTGCTTTCTCAGAGCATGTCAGTAGAAAAGACTGCTTTGATCCATCCTCAGCAGGATTCCCTCTACTTGGGTCTTGATGATTTGACATATTTGATCCTCTAGGTCCATCTGTGAACCATAAAAAGGAAGATTCTTTCAGTGTAACCCTTCATTGCTGTCAAAATCAACTAACAAATCCTCAAAGAGCTTACACTCAGTTTCCCACATGGATAAAAGAGCACTACATTCTCCAAATAATTATGAAACCAAAACCTGAAGAAGCCAGTGCCTACCCAGAATCTGCATAAATAGAGCTCTAGAGGGTTTCTTTGGATGCACAGTACCGGCACTCAGCATGTTACCGGTGTCAGCATCAAGAGCCAAAACTGAAGAATCCTTCGTCACAACTACTAAAACATTTTTCTCAAAACCATGAAGAAAGCAGCTATCAAACTGGAGAGAGATGATTCCAGTGGAAAGTTCACTTGCAATGTGCTCTTGATATAGTAGTGTTGGCCCTTGTATATCAAATACTGAAACCTGGACATTCATATGACATTTCAGATCCCAGTTAGGCGCTCCTGACAAGAGATGAAAAACCAGAATGTTTCTCTACCTCACCGAGTTTAGATGGTTCAAGTTCAGGCTCTAACAACTCCACAATATACATTTTTTTTCCTTTTTCACTTGGAGAGTTAAGATAAACTGGAAAAAGAAAGAAATGACAACAAGCTTACATATCCTTGATCAGACCCAATAGCAAGATGTCCTGAGCTGGGGCTTATGCTTATAGAAAGTACAGAACCATTCACTTTCATAAGTTTAACACTCTGGACATGATTGCTTCCCTTTTTGAACTCCCTGACAAGAAAAGCAGGTTCAATTTTGATTATTTCAGCTCATCAATATGCGAAGGATATCAATAAATGAGAATCCTGCATGACAGAAATACCAGATAAAAGTTCCACAGACTGAGTAACTGACATGATTGCTTGTATGCAACTAAATACAAAATTGATACTGGTCTCAAAGTTGGAAGGGACTGTGGAAGTATAGGTAAACAAATCCTCAATACATTATAATGCAAAGGTTGATTAAACGTGGTTCATATGCAAGAATGCTACAATGTGCATAACATTATGAAGCAGGAGCTTTACCTAATGCGGATGAGCCATCTTTCTAAAGTTCAAATAAGCTCAAATATAGTATCCTTTTATCCAAAAGAGAAGGGGAAAAAAAAAAAAAAACCCTAAAACATAGCATCGTGGGCTCAGTTATACCTTGAAAAGACATAAAACTGTTCTCGGCATATGGCTCAGGTTTAAATTTAAAGATGCGAGCCTGCAGATAACACGTATTGTAAGAAATCCAGAAAACATTCTGAACATTGACAAATGCATCCATAAATAGACGTGTGATTTTGTGCGTGTTGTGCACATTATGAATACAAGAATGACATTTCAAAATCCAGAAAACATTATGAACACAGACAAATGCATCCATAAATAAATGCGTGTGCTTGTGTGCATGTTGTGTGCATTCTGAATACAAAAATGGCATTTCACCATTCCACTCTGATCGCCTGAAATAAGAAGTCGAGAATCGGCATGAAAATACAATGCTGTCAGTGGTATACCACTTAAAGAACCATCATCTTCGCTCTGCATACCAGAGAGGAAAACAATAAATCAGGGACCAAAGAAAGAAAAATAAGCCACCACTTTCAACTAAAATCCTTGAGTGTAACTTTCTTCCTAACTATTTTTTTTTTTTCCTTTCTCAAATCCTCTGCTAAAATAAAACATATCAGAGGACTTATAAAATTCACCTGTTGCTTCAGCGATAAAATTGGGACAGGAAATGGACAAGATACGTCCCAAAAATTTATGGCTCCATCACTATGTCCAGTTATGTACAGATTTTTAACCTTTGTAAATCCATTAAACTGGAATGAATGAGTTCCATCCTTAGATCTTGACTCAAAAGGAAAAGGTGGTGGAATATTGTTTGCCAGCCGAATGTAATCCTACGTCAGCATGAAAATCATCAAAAAATGAATATTTTTGGCCCACAGAAAGTAGGTCTACATCAGAATAAAAATCATCAAAAAAGGAAGCAAACTAAAGGCAATACTCAATATTTGGGACAGTTCCATATTATAACTTTTTAATTATATTACCTCATCTCCAGAACTCAACAAATTTGGGGTATTTGTGATGAACTTTGTCACAGTGATGCTTGAGTCAGAAAATGGCATCTTCACCATGACCTCCTTTGGCAACGAGGCTGAACTTCTAGATTGTGATTGTAGAAGATACTTCTCTATCAAACAATCATCGTAGACATAAATGTGCCCTGATTTTCCAATCAGGACAAAAACATCATGTTTATGCTTGCTTTGGTCAAAAGAGCTTAAAATGATCTCCATGTCAATACAACGCTCAGGCAAATACAGCCCCAACTTGATCGTGCGAGTTTCAGTATGCTCATTCAACAAGATTACCTGCCCAACCAGATCCAAAATTCTACATGCATTACAAATTAGCGTAAAACTGGTTTTGCCATATCCTATTCAGAAAAGAGCCTAAAGATTGTTAACACCAAGCTTTGAAAAACTGGTTTTCAAACAAGTAAAAAAGCAACCAGTTGGGCATTTGCGACTCAAGAAGCACAAACTAGACTTGGAACCAAAGCTAAGTGTGTTTGTTTCAATTGTATGTGTACACTATGACATTATATTACGTCTTATCAAATAAAAAAAAACTTTAAATTACCTGCAAAGTGTTTGTGGATGCAAGGTCGGAAGCGCCCATAACATAGAGTCGACTTGCCTTCCCATCTGCATAAAGCCATTTCAATAATGCTATAGGAATTTTATCCACCTTATATCCAAGATTAAGTTTCAATTGAGGAGCATTTTGTGCGGCACTATCCAAGTTTAACTCAGTTCTAGAGTTTGGGGTAGCTGGAATTCTCCAGATAAAAATCTCTCCATTACTGTACCCAACAGCAACTTTACTTCCAAAAGGGCATGCCCAACATGCAGAAGTTACTTTCTTAGTTTCATGATGTCCACCTGTCGTGAAAATGGCTTTACTTTCTCGAATATCCCACAACACAAGTAGGCTGTCTCTAAATACTATAAGAACTCTGCATTGTAGCAAGTGAAAAATAAAAGAAATGAGACCTCCAATGATCATTCTGTAAGGGAAAATACACAATTTTTTTTTTCAGGAAGTGTGACAAATAAGGCGTTCAAGAGCTAATCTGATCCCTTCACTAGAGTTGTTTACACAGACTGGATCATGGAAAATGCAGTCACTTCTAGTAATTTGAGCCATATTAGCTGTTTAAACATCACATACCAGTTGCAGGGCAAGGCTATTGATACGATTCTTCTCATGTTTAAAACATCAAAGCTACTTAAACAGACAATCTATTTGGGAACAGAAGAATGAGACTACCTCTTGCTTTCAGCGGCCGGTTGGGGAAGTGTGTGCAATACAGAAGTATCACCAGAAACTTCAGCTGGATTCCCTGAATGAAATTATTAAGTACACTAACTATTATATCAGCTGGTTTTAGCACATAGACATCTAAGAGAAGAACAAACAAGCATATTGACGAAAGAAACAACAAATGGATGCCACTCTTCCAAAAACAAATAAGAAATTTCAAACAGGCACATGATTGACAACCACACAAATTAAAGATTATTAATTCATAACCACTAATAATGGGAAAAATATATCTTACGGGACAGAAATGTGTCTAACCGTGAGAAGCAGATAGGGGAATAGTGTATTTCATTAGTTCAACATGACATGATTCTGGATCAAGCTTCAAAATTGAGACATTACCAATAGAATCTCCAGCATAACTGCCAAAAGGGATCTTTAAACCATAATTACAAGTAACCAGTCCATGCATAAAAGCAAGTAACTTATTGTCGTAGAGCAATGAAGTCTAGAAACACTTACATGTACAAACTATTTTGCATAACTGTAAATGAGGTGATGTCTTCTTTAGAAACATGTACATGAGACAAAACCTTCTTTTCTACATCCCAAACCTAAGAAAATTGAACACTTCCATGTGATTATTGAAGCAAAACTATCAAGCAGACAAATAGACAAAACTAGAATTTAGAAATAATTAGGAAAAAAAAAAAAGCCCACACACACAGATTCACAGAACAGAATGTACTCAAATGGGGTTACTTGCCTCAATGTGGTTCTTGGATGTTACATTTACAAGGATCCCTTTGTTTTGAATGAACTGAAGATCAAAAGAAAAACGAAGAAAACATGCTTATGTTAACACCATATAATAATCCAATAAAATAAAAGAAATGCAGGGAAGAAATAGGAGGGCTACATGAACCTGTAAAAACTTGCTTGGTAGTGCCTCAGGAGATTCAAGTAGAACTTGAGTGTTATCTCTTCCATACAATTTGATTCTTCCATCTCTTTAGGAACCCAAAAAAAAAGAAACGTCAATCAAGTGATGATACATGGAAATTAAGTTATGTGTGTCAAAATGGATGAGGAGGAGTGCTCACTGAGTAGAGATGGCAAGTATTTTTTGAATGGTGTCATAAGCAAACTTAGTAGCTCCCTGTGGTATCCCATAATGGAATACCAACCGTGGTTCTACATCACTGGGTTTTAAACCATCTGTAATCCCTCCAGGCTGCAGCAAATACCCAAAAAATCTCTAAGAATGCTAAGACGTAACATTTTTCTTGCTAGCTAAATGGGGTTTTTTTTTTTTTTTTTTACACCGTTTCCAACGACCAGATTCCGTTTAGCGATTGCTTTGGACAGTCATCCATATAGAAACTAGGTTTTTGGCAGGTGCATTATTCAACTATTTTATAGTATTTTGTTTTCTATAATTTCGAATAGATTATTTTTAATTAATTATAACTAGTATTTTAAGCATATAGTAAACGAAAATGTTTATTTTTTAAAATCCGAATTGTTTTTGAATCCAATACATTTCAAAAACCATCGTCCACCTATTTCATAGTAGTGGCCTTTACATAATTTTGCATAAAAAAAATGAAATCGCTGTCATATTCAATGTAGAGGATAAAACACAAATCGGTTTTAGTTAATTGGAAGTGAAAGAATATAAAATTTGTGGAATGCTGATTTTTTTACAAAATAGGACTGAATCCTTAAAGAGGAAACATGGTAGTAATAAGTACACCCATTTGCATCTCTGACCTAGATTACTTCCTTCATGGGTCCCACGTCACCGCCCATCACGTGAACCACTAATTACCTAGGAGTAGTTTTCTTTCTTTGGGCTGACCATTTTTACTACTAATAAAAAAGAAAAAAGAAAAAGAAAAACAACCGACAGTCCAGCTTTGATTACCTTACCTTAATGGGTAATTTTGATTGGTCACTTTCTAACAGAAAAATCAAAGGTCAAAGATCCGTTATTGCATTGATTATCCTTGAAAACATTTTTTGTTTTTTTGTCTATTCTTAACCGTTGGATTAATGTTTCGATTTAGGATAAGACAGGTTTCTTTTATTTCTTGGTGACACGTAGCAGCTTATTGGGCTTACGTGGTTGGTGTTTAGATCTTTATTAAAGTTTAGTGGCATCCAATGTCTGATTATGTGGTTTTTTGGCTTGTCAAAGTCACCATGGTGTAACATCTAGTGTGGTATTCTAAATGCTATTGGTTAAATCAGCCTAATTAACTTTTTTTTTTTTTTGCATAAAATGTTAATCTCTAGCATGCACATATATTTCCATTGAACACTTAAGTTATAATACTTAGTCTTTTGAAATATTTGAAAATTTTTTATTATAATAGGAGACTAAAGTAGACCTTTATCTTCGTAATAGTGATTAATTTAATTTGTCATGATAATACGAATGATTTTCTTTTCATGTTTTGCTGACTACGACCACTGATCTCTTAACACCTAATAACCGCACGATTTCTATTTATGAAAAAAAAAATAAAGTAAATTATACTCCCTAACAAGTCTTATCTTAATTGTAACTTAGAAAAAAAAAAAAAAAACAACTTTGCATATCCTCTTTCACGGGAAACATAATAAAGTGCTTTTAATGATATGAAAACATAAGTTAAGTATATGTTTAGTATCTTCCACCTCAGCAAAATCTCTACTTTTATCACCAAAACACACCATTTTTGACAGCACATATGGTACTTTATTTATGCAATGGAGATTGCTATTACAGTGACCAAAGAAATAGGTTAATTGCAATTGCAGTACTTTGATTTTGAGGTAATCTAGCACCACAAACACAAGTTGCCTGAGGTTCTCTTAACTCGAGGATAATAAAATCAATTAAATTTTCTAACACATGTATTCTTGCAGTAATTTAAAGAAAAAAATAATAATAAATTGCAGCAACAAAAACCCAAGAAGAAAAGCTTTTATTTTTCAAAATGCATCAAGAAGAACTTTATATATATATTTGATCCTGAAAACAACAAATTATATATTAATCCAATCCAATCCATGAACATTTGATGTCTATTTCTCTACTGTCACTCCATTTAAAAAGAAAGCAATTGGTTCACAGAGAAGCAAAACATCAATGAAAGAAACAGATCAAGAAATGAAAACAGTTTCGTAACTTCCTTACCTTCTTTATCGAAGCCTTCTCCACAAGTTTCTTCACGAACATAACTCCAAACTCCAAATCTTCTTGAAGAACCAACGCTGATTCAGACAAAATGGGTTCAACAGAATCAAGCCAAACTCTTGCTTTGTAATAACAGGAGGGAGAGGGAGAGAGAGTTTTGCCTTTGCTTTGTTAGTGAGTGACCAAAGGACGGTTGATTTCAGTTTCTTTGGAAACAGAGACAAAAAGAGCGGTTTTTTATAGACAAAACAGTAATAAATGGTTACGATTCGATGTAATGGTGACACGTGAGAGGTCGATTAGGTGGTCCAATGATAAGCATTGGTGAGATATATGTAAAGAAAAGGAAGGAAGAAATCTTGACTTGCTACTATTTTAATGTTCAATAAAGGACAAAAGAGGAAGGAAAATAGTATAAAGTTGGATCGAAAGAGATAGAAAACAAAGATTTTTGGATGTCACGATAATGACCATGTTAATAGAAGACACGTTGCATGACTACGATGTTGGTGCTCGGACTGACCTTTGTTTGGAAGATTTGGCGAGGAAATAAATGTTCGCATCGCCTTCCAAAAAAGTAACCAAGAATATGTTTAGTTGATCCTTAGCCCTAAATGCCTAAATTCTTCCATTTCAATATCCAAAAATACTTATTTCATCTTCAAGCAGCTCAGAATCCATTCAAATTCAAATTAGGTTATAATATTAAATCATCGAATTAGATGTTCAAATTGTTATTGCAAAATGAGGTTTTGAATTAGGGGAAGATAAACAAACCATCATTCTTTCTCCAAAAAAGATAAAACTATTATTATTATATAACAAAAGGCTTCATGGGCTTTACTAATGAAGAAAGTTCAAAGCTTGGTTGGTGAGAGGCCGAAATGAGATTGTGAATGTTTCCCCAATTCTTGTTAGTCCAAGTAGAATTGTGGGAAGGGATTAGGCTCACTAGGCTATAGGCCCAATTAAAATTGGTGTCAAAGAGAGACAAAAAGGCCAAGATCATGTGGTGCCTTTATAGAGTCAATTGCCCCATCAAAACAGGTGGTCCACCAAGCTCCCTACCAGCCGAGAAGCCGCCCCCGAAAAATAATTAGATTGCAACTTTAGGAAACCTAAATCCCCAACCACGTGCCCTAGTGTGAAAAAAAAAAGAAAGTAGTTTCCCTTCAAAACCTTGGTCCCCATTGGCATTGATGGAGGCCCAGCAGCTCCACCATTGATATACACACACATTCGTGCCATCCATTAATAAGAAATTTTGGATTCCAATCCTATAAAGAGTTATAAGAAATTTTATTTTTCTTCGTAAATGTACATTAATAAATCACTTATTTAAAATTCAACGGTAAAAGAATTTGGTTTGGATGTGCAAAAAAGGATAGAAGAATGTGAAGCAAATAGCCTCTCAAACTCCTCATCGAGCACATGACCTGAGCATCATTAGATAAAAAGAGTCACTTTACAACTAATTAAAGCCTACACGTGTACAAACATCATCTTCGTGAGTTGTAAGACATGGGCTTTTATTCTCTACTTTCTTGCTGCCTGTCCTTTCCATTGGGAACCACGCCTCTCAAGAATTTCCGAGGAAAAACAAAAACAAAAAAAAAAACTATAGGAATTATGTTTTTTCTTTTATTTATTTATTTATTTCATGGTTGATTGAGTGATTTTCGTCAACTTTTTGGTACATCAATTCTTGAAACTCTCACCTATACATGTATTTGAGATCATATGGTACATCTTATTCACACAATTCGAATAGATGGGGGAAATGCATGCATGAATCTAATGATTAAAATTTCTCGAAAAATGAAAAAATTTCAGTAAAACTAGCTGCCATTATTATTCATTCGTTTGACTCAAAGATTAGCAACTCGTCGGATAATTCCCATTAATTATTGAAGTTATTATAGGCAAGCAACCCAAAATTATCCAAGACATTTCTTGAGATGGCAGGCAAATATATATCTATATACTGAAAATGAAGTATGGGAAGTGTTTCTGATTTTGACAATAACAAGAACGGTTCACACTCTTCGCAATATATAGGACAGATTTGGGTGAGCATGGAAGATTTCTTGAGCTAATATAACACGTATGTACATCCCTCAACCTATATATATATATATATATATATATATATATATATATTAGCCTTCAATGACAACGGTACTTGGTTATTAAAAGAGAAGGCCAAAACAGGCAAACCCTAAGATTTTCTTGCATCATCATCATCATGTTGCTGTTCAAGTCAATAAAAACCAGTCTAATAAATGATAATTTACTGACACAATTCTCTGTCAAATTAAAATATTGGATGAAACAAATAGTAAAATGGAACTACGCTTTCTTTATTGTAGTTTAATGTGGCGCCAAATGGAGGGTTCGTGCGCGTCCTTTAACTGTCCATGAGCTGTTCGCTATGTCATACAACGAGTCATCGCCTTTCTGGTTTTAATTATTTAATTATTTTTACTATCAAACCATTCTTTGTAATTACTTGATTTCTTTTTTTAAAATTATTATTTCATCTTCTTAATTATTTTGAAATTTAATTTTTAGTGGATGATTGACTGACTGACAGGCAATTGTGCATCCAGCTAATTAAATGATATATAATGAGATTTGACTTTTAAATCTACATATTTTTATCTTATGGCTTAAAAATTCAATAAATATAAAAATGAAGATAGGGGAATTGGTGCCAACATATCATATTAAAATTCTTAAAAAATTGATATTGCTTTAAGGATAAAGAAGAGTTGTTTTAATTTAACTAAAACTAAAATTCAATTCTCATTTTTCTATATATATAATTGCTCAAAAAAATAATAAAAAAGCATTCAAACCCTAATTCATCAAACTTTGGAATAGACAGTGAGGCTTCTTTAATTTTTTTTTAATTTTCATGAAATCAAAAATTGATCTCAAATCACATCAACATGTAAAAGCATAATAAAAAAACAAGATACGTTACATAGCGATAGCATGGTTTTTGCAAGAACTGTCTGCTTATTATCTGAATTCCATTCTAATCTTTTTTCGGTTTCAGATTCCATTTTGAATGCTATAACATAACTTAGTTGCAGCAACTAAGAGATTAGAATTTTGAGACAACCTACTACCTGGTCTAAAGTTAGTCTACGATCCACCTAATAATTAGACTGTAAAAAAAAAAATTGAGAATCAAATCAACAAATAATTAATTAAAAACAGAAAGAGAATAATTATGGGAATAAAGTACAACGCCACATGGATTGGAAGCTTCACTTTCTGCTGCTATCATATTCCAGCCATGAACGATCAATTTAACTTCTCTCTACAACTGAAAAGCATATCTTTTTTTCATGATTCATCATTACTACTATAGTTTTAATCATTAAATTATTACTATATCCTTTTCGCCTCCTACATTACACAAATCCCATCTTTGAATTTCCAATATTTTGCTTCAAATTTCATCTCTAATCTTCAAGATCCTCTGTTTTCTCTGTTTCTTATATTTTCAGCTCAAATTTTGTTCTGTTTGACTCCAAAGTTTGCATTTTGGCTTCAGTGTTTTCTCATAGAGGCACTTTTGAGGAGAGGAAAGGTCACATTTTTGTGTTATTAATGTTTGGGTGAGGTTGATTTTGTTGAAACAGTTAAACAATGATAGGAAATAACTGAATTTTGATCAATTTAGTGGTACGTGTACCATTCATAAACAGAATCTACTTTGTTCTTGCTTTTTTTGTTGGTGGCCGTTTCTTTGTTTCTTTGTGACTATGCGGATGCTGATATTCTTCATATTTTTGTTAATTTGAGCTCATTTTCTTACATTAAAACTCTGAATTGTTGTGGATTGTTGACTTAAGGGGATCTGATTTCATTAATTTTGATGCCAAATACAATGAGCTTCCCTTATCTTAATTTCTTGGTATGTTGATTATGTAAAGTTTCAATCTTTTGCTTTTGAAGTTGAGATTAGATTGCCCCAATTGCTGGAATACAAGAAAACAGCTGTTTTGTTGGGTCATTATAATTCTCATTGGTTACAAAAAATGGATCTTATTTTTTTTACTGGATCCATTATGTTTTTCATTTCATTGTCTGAGTCTTTGAAAAATCTTGATTCAACTATTTTAGTTTCCTATTAGTGATTTGTGAAAATTTTGTGGAATTGCAGGCTTTACAACGGCAGGATTGTGTAATGAGTGGATAAGAACTATCATTTTAGGCCTTTTGATGGGGGTAAGGCAGATGCATTGCTGAGGAAATGACAGCCTTTTGGTAGACCATCTAGCTGCATGGGAGGATTTTTGCACCTTTTTGACTTTAATCAAGACAGCATGGCCAGGAAAATTCTTGCTCATAAGCGACCTGTTGATGGTAAGTATTACCGTATTTTTCTTTTTCCTAAGCAAAGGGAGAAACTTTTCTATGTTGGTTTTCAATGCCTGTTTAACAGAAACATGTACTTTAGATTATTAGCAGCGATTGGTCTAAGTTCGATGGTGTTATCCGACCAATACGGTTGTTTTTTAAGCAGGAAACAGTTTTCAAACCGTTAGTCTTGGATTTGATCACACCACAATCCACCTAATTTAAGCTGATGAAGATGCTCATGTGATATGTATATCAAGACTAAAGAGGAATATTTAATATTCGGCCATTTGTAGAAACATTGGTTGACTCTTCTTCCCCATTGATATGCCTTTTAAGGAATTGCTAGGCTGTGTTGAGGAGTTAATCTGCTCTTTAATTGTTCGATGAGGGTATGGACAATTTGGCCCTGATGGGTGGTGAACTTTCACGTTGCTCCATTATGAAATTAAAGCACCTCTCTCTCACAAATAGATGAGAAATTAACTGCTATTCTGTCGTAACTTGCCGAATTTGTATTTCCTTGAGAAAACTGACTTAATGAAACTACTTTGCAGGACTGGAAGCTCCCCGAAATAGCTTGGAGCTGCAAGTAGAATCTTCTCAGAGCTGCTGTGCTGCAGGAGATGCACTGGTAAATTTTCTTCATTGCGCACCTTGTATATCTTTTAACATTATCACAGAAGTTGCTGTTCAAGACTACGAAGCATTTGTATGATGCAACAATGTGTTATAGTTGATATGGAAAATATGGTTTGGATTCTGGGGAATTAAAAAGGTTCGGGTTTGGATCATTTCAGAGTCGCAGGAAATGACCCAAAGTTGGAGTTTTGCATGCAACTGTCTTAATTTGTATGTTTTCAGTCTACTTCCTGTAAATTTTACGGAGAGTTTCTATTTCCAATCTGCTGTGTTCTGCTAAGAACTCTTTCCATCTTATTAGCGTTTCTGATATGTATTGTTCTATTTGTTTACATATCCACTTACTCTTTGCTATAAATTTTCAGGACTCTTATGAGGTCGAAGAAAACTGGTCTCAAAAGAATTGTTATCCGATCGAGGCTTCAATGAAGAGGTTGATTAATGAGGAAATTTCCCAGCAATCTAATGCAAAGAAAAATGCACCAAGCATTGTCGCCCGACTGATGGGAGTGGAAATGTTGCCATTAGAAACCAAATCTGCAGTTCAGACAATTGATAATAAGAAAGCAAGCATAGAAAAAACCAAGTTCTCAAACAGGGAGAAGAATGAAAGTAGGTCAGCTGCTCATTTGTCTTCCAACTCAAATTCTTACGGGCAGATGGAACTTGATTCACTTTATGATGGTAAAGAGCGAGATGCTGATAGATGGAGTAAAGGTCAAAAGTTAGGAAAACCGACCCCTCGAGAACATCCTCAAGAGGAGGAACTGCAAAAGTTTAAAAAAGAATTTGAAGCATGGCAAGCTTCCAGGTTTAAGGAATGTTCCGAGGTAGTTGAACATGACAGCACACCTGCTCAGTTACTTGCTCAAGAAAACATCAGTAAGAAAAAACTGTTACTTGATGTAGATTCCAGGATACCAGCAGGTGAGAAGCATGCAGAACTTAAGGGTCTTACATTGAAAGCAAGGTCACATGAAAGAAGTGGATTACGATATCCTAGACATGAAATGGAACTATTGCCAGCTGAACAGAAGGATTATTTTTCCGCAAGAAGCAGAACTGTAAGTAGAAACATTGAGCACTCCTTGATAAATGATGATGAGAAACTGGATAATTCTTCTCCTCCCACACGGATAGTGATCTTGAAGCCCGGTCCTGATAGGATTTGTGACTACGATGAGACCTGGACTAGTTCTTCAGGCACTTTTGATGACGGAGGTAGTATAGAGGATTTCCTTGAGGAGGTAAAAGAACGGCTGAAACGTGAATTGCAAGGGAAAACCCAAAGAAGGAGTTCTGTGGTCAGAGGAAGTGGGATTGAAACCCCCTTTAGTGAAAGGCCATCGGATCCAAAACAAATTGCTCAGCATATAGCAAAGCAGGTCAGGGATAGTGTTACTCGGGACCTTGGGATGAATTTGCTTCGATCAGAATCAACCAGATCGTATAGAAGTGAAATTCAGTTTAATGAACCAGGTTCTCCCGATTTCATCAACAGAGATACTAGAAGATTCTTGTCAGAGAGATTGAGGAATGTTCTAAGGAGGGAAACACATCTAGATGATCCCGTAGTTATCAGTGGAATTTCTGGATCATCTCTATCGGAAGATGAAAAGGCAAGACTAAAGCAAGTGGGAGATTCATTGAAAGCTGGAAACGAGCCGAACTATTGGGAAATCATGAAAGATGAACATGAAATGCAAACTAGATCTTTCAGGCATGGAGATGAAAATGGAGCACTTCACCGCGAATTGTCTCCTAGGAACCTAATTAGGTCTTTGTCAGCTCCTGTGTCAGGAACATCATTTGGAAAGCTTCTCCTTGAGGACCGGCACATTTTAACCGGTGCCCATATCAGGAGGAAGCACGAATCCCTTGAAAATGTGACCTTGGAGTTGAAGAAACGGAAGAAAGAAAGATTCAACATCAAAGAAAAAGTTTCCAATTTTAGATACAGTTTCACTCTTCGGGGTAGGCTGTTTGGCAAGAAGATTCAATCAATGATGGAATCACAAAATGCTGAACAGGAGCTTGTACAGGATATCATGAATGGGCCAACAGTTATTAGGAACTTGGGCAGAAAGAAACATAATGGTACTATTTTCTTTTCCTTTCAGTGCAATGAATGAAAGAAAAGGTTTATATTTTGTCCACTTCTGTTGTCTAATTAGCTTATCTTCAAACTTCTGCTCTTAGGAAAACTCGACTGAGGTGCCTCCAAGCCCTGCATCTGTGTGCAGTAGTGCTCAAGAAGAGTTCTGGAGGGCAACAGATTATCTCAGCCCACTATCGACCCCTGATATCACTATGGGAGAAGATGATGCCGTGCCACAAGTTTTTAAAGAGATCAGCTCTAATCTGAATGGTACGGAAACAAATGATTTCTTTTGTTGATCATATAACATGCCTCTGTAACTGCTTCGGCACATGATTGCCAATTTTTAGATGACCTTTTATTTTTTATATGCTACAAGAAATGAAGGATCCCTAGGTAATTTAGTTTAAGGTACTTCTCTATTGTCATATGCTCATTTACTGGCACGGTGACCATGCCATAAATTTTTATGACCGGTCACGCTACTCTTTTAAGGGTCCATTTTCCTCTAATTTCTTCCTTGTTGTGCCATCATGAAATGTAGTTCTTCTAGTTCATATCAGGCTCTCAGCATATTGAACAACAACTTGAAATATTATTCTGAAAACTGGGACACAAGTAATACAAGGCACTTCCGTTGACAATATGAATGTGAAGTTATTTTTCTGATAGAAACTTTTGTCATGTTGATTTTGCAGAGCTGCGACGGCAACTAAATCAACTTGGGTCCATTAAACCTGAAGAGACAACAATTGAACATGGAAGGAATGAGTTCATACTAGATGCTTTAGAGGACAAAGCAGAAGCTTACATAAGAGATTTGCTTATTGCTTCTGGTTTGTATGATGGATCATCCGATAAATGTTTTTCGAGATGGGACCCACTTGCAAAGCCTATCAGCAATTCAGTGTTTGAAGAAGTAGAAAAATCTTCTAAAAAATTGTTGCTCACGGATAACGGAACTACTGCAAGGGATGACAATGAGAAGAAGGCAGATCACAGAATGTTATTTGATTTGTTGAATGAAGCACTTTCAACTATACTAGGGCCACCAGTGATCATGTCTAGATTCAGAAGAAAGGTCATCGGTTGGTCCATGCAGCCACGTTTACATGGAAGGAAATTATTGGATTCTGTGTGGGAGATTGTCTCTGAGTATTTATACCCTTTCAACGACAAATCCCCTTACTCTCTAGATAATATGGTGAGCAAGTATCTAGGATCCACTCCTTGGTCTGGCTTGATAGACGATGAGGTCAATGATTTCGGAAAAGAGATAGAATGTCTGATTATGGAAGATCTTATTGAGGAACTCTTTAAGGATTTGTGATTGTGCATGGATTAGTACTGTCTCTGCTGTGATATAATATCCAAATCACCTGTTAATGGAGAGACAAAGAAAGTGAAGAAGACCATCAGGCATACATATGGCCAAGGTATGCTAATGAAGTAATGATATATATCCTTCCTGGGAGTACCAATTTTTCTTGTTTGTTATAGGTTTAGTGTGGAGTTAAGAGATTGCATGTGCATGAATGTATATAGGTTCCTTGTGGGATGTTTGATATAGGAAATTGAGTTTAGAAATCATATCCTTACTGTAAATGAGTTGATTTGCATGGATTAATAGGTTTTTTTTTTTTTTTTTTTGACAAATTGGTGTATCATTCATAATTTGTATAACCTTAAATCTTCAATACACTTCTTTTCTTCACTGGCATAAAATCCAATTATCCGGAGCTTGACCTCAACTTCCCCAGCCAATTTTCTGCCATGGCCCAATTTGGATTTTATTGGGACTTATTTATCTTATGCTGCCTTCTGGCACTTCTAGCTATACATTTGGGGAAACCTCCATCTCACCCATTACCTCATTATTATTATTATTATTATTGATTAAGTCCTATCAATTTTACTTTAAAAGTAAAACCTTATTATCAGTTGAGTCCCAAGCTTTCAATTTCATAAGTTCTGTCTCAAATGCCATCTGGATGGATTAAGGGATGAAAACAAACTCTAAGCTTAATGGTCCAAGTTTGATGGGCTTATCTCTCATGTACCGTACAATAGGTTTGGCCCTTGTAAAAATACATTAATTTAAAGGCCCACTTTCTGTCAACCTCTGGGCTATGTTATGGGCTATCATAACATTTTGACATGGACTGACTGACTGACTCTGAGTATTCAATACATGCAGTTGCCAATTGATATGCATCTCAAGTGCTTCATTTTTGGTCTACTTTGAAAAGTAAAATCCACCAAGAACAATCATTGCCAGGCTGAAACGAGGGAAAGAATACTACTTTTTTCGAAAGACAATTCGGTTAGTGAAAACAAAAAAGGTACGAGTAAAGTGCAAGACAGAAAATTTTCAAAAGAAAGACCATTAATAGATCTCCCACTAAACTAAAGAATCTTGGGGGAGAGCACAAGGAATAGTAGGAAAAGAGAAACCGAAAAGAAGAAAGAAATTCTTTTAAATATAAATATATTGACTCCAGTATAAATTTACCTGCTTAAACCACACCATAGATAATAATAACTTTAAATTATTCAAAAAAAGAAAGAAAGCAAGAAAGAAAAGCCTAAATTTGAGTACCTTCATTGTAATAGATTGGTACATCTATATATGAGTATTTAGGATTTGAACTTGTAGAATAGGGATCACATGCAAAAACTAAACTCTTTTTTTATATATATATATTGAAAATAAAAGTTTCGTTAGGTATACCAAAATTTTCTGATTAAGCAAGAATCCAAGAAAGATTTAGAGGATAAAGAGGGTGGTGGAAGAGAGGCCAATGAGAGTGTGAGTGCACCCTTGTACCCAATAAAAAGAGGATCATGGTTGGTAGAATAGTCCCACGTTGCCTTCAATCTTGTCCTTGTGCAAATCCGCCCCAAGCTACTTGCTCAACTTGTTTTCACAACACCCATTCACATCAAACCTATTTATCATGCCCTGCTCCTTTTGACCTGTCAAACTATTGATGCCCGAGCTCTGTACCTATTGCTTCAATTAGAGGCTTAATTGTTTTATTTAGCTTCTAAGATTTTATGAAATGATGTTTTGAATAAGCTGAAACTGTTGTTTCTTCATTTTTACAAGGGACATATACACAAAAAAAACGTAGCACTATTGGTGTATATGAAATTAAGAAGAGAGCGTCAACTTAAGCGTTTGTAGCTTAACTACACCAGTGACAAGCTTGTGATTTCAAAATAGCTACCTAACATTTTTATTTTATTTTTAAAAAAATAACAATAACTATTCATCAAGTATCTTTCAATTAATTTTCGTGCTATCAATACTAAACACTTGTCAATTAGATGTTAGATAAATCATCCATATTTTCTTTTAATTTTAATCAGTATACTTATTGATAATGCGTGAAATTTGAGATTTTCTACAAAACTCGTCGAGTTAGGCATTCTCAAAATTACGAGTTTTTGAGTCTCTCATTCATAAAACACAAGCCATTTATTTCAATACACACATATTTTTTGAGATTCTCTCTCTCTCTCTCTAAATACGTTTACAATATATTCAAAATACTAACTTAATTATCAAAGTGGCTTTGCTAGGCATCTTTCGACACTACTAACTCCGGTGTTTGCACTCCATGCTTATAGGATTTCGAATCTATGCTTGCAAGATTTTAGACAACGTTATCGTTAAAGAATTAGTATTCTAACCGTATACTTGTTATAATCATCACTTAGTTAACATAGAAAGTCTTATTATTATCTCGTATAATTTTGTATTCATATCTTTATATCAATTAGTTGTATCCAACAATTATATAAACCTTGTTGCTCATTCATATAAAAAAGAAACAAAAAAAAATTTACAATTTTTTAGTTTTTACATGGTATTAAAGGCATAATAATTTAGAAGCTTATCATGCCGACAAATTCAGACAACCAATGCCTCTCAAATTATGCTAATTACATTACCAAATCTAAACAATACTCAAAGCTCTCATCATATCTTTTCTATTAAACTCACATCTAGAAATTACCTAGTTTGGAAACCCTAATTCCTTTCCCTCATAAACTATCAACATCTCATGGGTTACATTGATGGTACCTTAGGCTGCTTCTTCCCAAACCATTGCCTCTCCCATTGACGAAACTCAAATGCTATCAAATCCTACATATGAAGCATAGTTTCAAAAGGATCAACTTCTTTTATCATGGATACTCTCTTCATTATATGAGGAGGTTTTTCCATATATTATTGGTTACAATCATCCTATCAAGTTTGGATAGTATTAACAAATGCATTTGGTTACGCATCTCGAAATGACATTTACAACTTAAAATTGAATTGCAAGAATTTAAGAAAAATGATTTGACTATATCTTAGTATCTTCACAAAGCAAAGGTTCTTGTTGATGAACTTGTTACTATTGGAAGGACTATTTCTCTTGCTAAATTTAATGCGATAATATATCGTAACTTGGGCACCGATTTTCATGCCATCATAATTGCCCTAAACCTTTGCCTTGAATCTGTCTCATTCTATAAATTGCATGGTCAACTTGTTTGCTCATAAAATTCTTCGAACAACACCAAAGAAGGACCACTAGCCAATATTGCTTATAACCCGCCCTTTTAGCTAACTAACCCTTCATTCATAAACCAATAACTAGTTCCTCTAAACCCAAATCCAAACCATAATAATATTTCTATCAATTATGAAAATCATAGGAATAAAGGACCTTGTTAAATTTATATTTATTGAAACTACACAATCGATATATGCCATTGTCGTTATGCTTCTTGCTAGTATCAAAATGCACAAGCCAATTTAGCATGGACTAAGAACTTGTCTCAAGACAATCAATCTTCTTATCTTACTCGCATGAGTCCGCAACAATCTTTTCATCAAAAGGATCCATTTTTGCATTGGTACCACGACACTAATGCTTCACATCATCTCATACTAGATTTTCCAATATGAGCATTGCCATAGAATATCAAGGAAATGACCAAATTCATGTTAGTAATGGGTAAGGTTTGCATATAACTCGTTCCGGAAGTACTTGTTTATTCTACACCGAGATAATTTTTTCCTTAATGATGTCTTGTTGAATTCCAAAATTACTAAAAGTATTTTTTCCGTCTAAAAACTTGCTACCGATAATTCTTATTATTTTGAATTTTGGCCATCTTATTTTCAAATCAAGGATCAAATGACTAAGGAAATCCTACTGAAAGGCCCAAGTAGTCATGGATTGTAAGTGTTTTTTCCATTATTGTAGCAAAAATTGGTTGGTGAAAAAGTTTCCTTTGGTGATTGTTATGCTTGTCTAAGCCATCCTCAACAACGATCGGTGTCTAGAGTTCTTCATATAAATAATTTATCTTGCTCTTCCAAATCATCTAGTTCGTATCCTTCATGTCCCTTACATAAAATGTTTAGATTGTCTTTAGCTTTAATTGATCATAAAAGTAAGGTGCCATTCGAGGTTTTCCACTCGAATGTTTGAGGTCCTGCACCTAAATTATCTCTTTCTAGTAATAGATGTTTTTTTTTGTTTATTGAAGATTTTACCAAGTATTTTTTTTTAAAAAAAAAAGAAAATAAGAGTGTTATGTCTGCTATTTTTCTTAATTTCCAATAAAAGGTTTAGCGCCAATTCAATAAAAAAAAAACATTCGGATTTTGAAGGGGAATATAAAAAATTATGTACTCATTTTAAAGAAAGGGATTATTCATAAAGCTGGCTTGTCCATATACCTCCGAACAAAATGGTGTTGTTGAACATAAAATTTGACACATAGTTGATGCCAATATGACACTTTAGCTCATGCAAACATCTCTTTAAAATGTTGAACGTATGCTTTTGATACTAGTGGTACTCTTACAACTATTTACCTTTTATTTCTTTTTAACATAAATATTATTTTCAATTACTTGTTTCACAAAACACCAATCTATACCAATTTAAAAATATTCGATTGTGCTATATTTTCTTTTTCCAAACCTTTCAATTGCCATAAGTTTTTTTACTATAGTAAAATTTGTGTGTATCTAGGAAATTCTTCAAGCCATAACAAACATTGTTGTTTGTACATTTAGAATGGTCGTATTTATATTGCTAGACATACTAGATTTGATGAAATAAATTTTCCTTTTCAAAGAGTATCATGTCACTTAACTTCCTCTCTAGGAAATTTTATCACTAATCCATGGTTAGATGTGATCACTACAATTCCTCCTCCCTCGATGCAAAAAACGGTATGGTTTATGATTCTTTTTCTTAAAGTTTGTTATTTCCACCACCACGGTCTCTTTCTCCATCTCGGCTATAACCTTCATCT